TTAAATGTTTCCACAAATTTGTGCACAGGTTTCAGATCCTCCCCCCCTTCTCCTTGGGATAAATTCTTACAAATAGATTCTGCTTAAAATGCTACACTTTTGACCTGTGTAGTTACAAGGATTTTCTCATTTATTTCTGTTGGGAAGAGAAAACTCTGAACCTGAGGAAAGATCCATGATCAGTCCTAAAACAGGTAATTACAAAGCAGCTGTGGGATACCCGCCTCCCCACCCGCCCCCTCCCTGCCACAGCTAGGAGGGACAGGAGAAACTGGAATAGTAATTACATGTCACGCCTGGGGTGACAGTACCTCCCTCGGCTGCCTGGTTAGCATGTGAAATGGAAATCTAGATGAGCAAGACCTCTACTCATTGCCCGAGTTAACCAGAAACTTCCTTGGCCCAAGGTGGAAGGTGCCTAGTGCCCAGGGACCACAGAACACACTGGCAGCCCAGGGCCAGCTGAGGCTTCAGGCAGTCAAGGCCACCAGCCCACCCCACCCTTGCACCTAGGCCACACCAGTCCCCATACAAGTTAGACTCCAGACCTCTCTGGTTGAAACCACCTCGCCAAATGCGATGTGTCCTTCCAGCAAGATGGACAAAGGGTGCAGCCCCTATCTTCATCCTCATTATCATCTCTGACCTGAGCAGACCTGGGGTTAAAAGAGAGCCGTGTGGCCTGGGGAAGTTGCCTTACCATGCCATTCCTCCATCCACTGCCCCCCAACCCCCATGGTTTGAATAGCCCTCTAGTGCTGTCCCCGTGGGCACCCACCTGCGTTGTCAGGCCTCTTGCCTGACATCCCATGAGACTGCATGTCCCCCATCAAAGTCAGGTCATGTGCCCACTCACAGCCTCAGAACAGGACTTTATTTGGAATATTGGAATAGAGTCTTTGCAGGTGTAATTGAAGTAAGGATCCCAGGATGACGTCACCCTGGAATAGGAGGGGCCCTGAAGCCAATGACTGGATTGGAGAAATAGGAAGTAGACACATAGGGAGGAGGCCTGGTAAAGATGGAGACAGAGATTGCGGTGATGTGGCCATGTGCCAAGGAAAGTCTGGAGCCACCGAACAAGAAAGGATCCTCTCTAGCACCTGTGAAGGGAGCCTGGCTTTGCCAAACCCTGAATTTCTGACTTCCGGCCTCTGGAAAGGCTAAATAACGGTGTTGTCTTAAGCCAGCCAGTCTGTGGTTATTGATTATAGCGGCCACAGGGAACTCATACAGGTTTGATTGCTTCAGTGGATTGTCGTAAGGATTAGGGAAAAAAAAAAAGTTCTTGCTCATAGCAGCCATTCATTTGGCAAACATTATAAGCTTGTATGCTCCAGGTGCTGGGCCGCAGAATAAAATGCTTGGCCTCTCTGTGCAACTTTAACTCCCGCTGCAGTGCCAGCAAACAAGGGTGTGAGCAGACAAGAGAACCATGAGTTATGGGAGGATGGAGGGTGGAGGACAGCTTCAGGAGCACGTGCCACAAGAGATGGTTGAGGAAAGATGGTCCAGGGTCAAGGGGCCGGATGGGATCCTGCTGAGTAGGAAGTACAACGTGGGAAAAGACCTGGCACTTCACAACACCTTTGGGCAAATGGAAGCCAGAGAGTGGGTCTGGAGGGAAGTGTGTAGCAAAGGGGCTGAGCCAGAGAAGTTGGAGAGGAGAAGAGGCCACATTACAGGAGGATGAGGTGTTGGAAGCTGGGTCAGGGGTTGTCAGGGGTGTGGGATCAACCATCGTAAAGGTCCAAGCAAGGACTTCTATAACCTTGGGCTGGAGTCACCTGGGAGTGGTGGGTAGGGACAGGAGGGGTGAGACCGAAGGAGGGTAGGGGATGTTCAGGTGAGACACAGCCCAGATAGAGGGTTGCAGGGACAGACCTTAGCGCTGGTCTGTGGAACATGGGGTCTGCTCGGATGGGGCGGGGTGCAGAGCCAAGGCCTCCTCCAAGCCAGGGTGCTCACTGCGCCTGGTTTTCCCCAGGCCTCCTTGTTCCACCAGCTCGAATGACTTTCCTTAGAGCTGCTATTTACAGTGGAAAACCAGAGTGAAATGAGACCCTCCTTCTGCCTGCTTCTTCCTGGACAGCCATCTTCCAAGGGACCGTTCTCTGAGGGCCTGCTAAGAATCAGCCCATGCAGTGTGCCTGAGACCCCAGTGCCTTGGAGCTCCAGCCCCAACTCCCTTTCCTGAGATATCTGAGGGCCTCTCAGAACTGAGGGACTGCAGGTGATGGGGCAGAGCAGGGCGGGGTTCCCAGACAAGCTCAGGGCCTGGCCCGGGCCCAGCCTCCCTGACCAGCCTGTGAGGCTGCCCTGTGAGGCACAGATTAGTATTCACTCCGGGTCCCCCAGCTCTGAAAGCCCTTGTTCCCTCACAGAACAGCCGGGCAGCTGGGGGATGGCGGTGGGGGTCAGTGCAAAGCCACCCTCCCACCATTCACACACCGAAGGCCCTTATTGCCCCTCGGCACTTGAGATGGGGTCTGCCCAGACCCTCCTGGTGGCACCCTGGGGTCTCTCTGCTCAGCCAAGGCCTGGGAAGTGCCTAGGCAGCTCCCAGGGGCTGCTGTCGCTTTGCCTATCTCCGTGTCTCCCCATCTTCTTGTCTGAGTTTCTCCCTCTCTCTCTCTCCCTCTCCTGAATGCATCTCTCTGTATTTTTCTCTCTCTCGACCCCCTCCCTCTGCCCGCCTCTACCCTCTGCAGTTTTGTGTGGTCAGGGCAGTCAGGAGAATCCCCACGTTTCACTTGCCAAACAGAACATTGGGCCAGGCACGTGAGACGGATTTGCTGGAACGAACGCCCTGTCCCCAGGTGGTGGCCTCATACCTGCAACATCTGTCCCTGTTGGTTCTGTCTTGACTCTGGCCAGCCTGTAGGTGACCCCACAGTCCTTGCACTTTGCCCCAGTGATAATCATACTGGAGCTCCCTCACTGGTGCCCAGAGCAGGGTACGTGCTGGGCTGACAGATTCTTCCCTTCCAAGCCCCTGGTCACTCAACACGTGCTCACCAGATGTTTGGGATCCGACATGGGGAGGGCACCCTGGGCCAGGAGTGCAAAGCCAGTGCCTTGAGTTTTCTGACCCCACACACCTGTGCCGGGCACATGTCGGTCAGCACATCTTTGGGGAACGTGGAGATCTTTAAGGTTCCAGTTTTGGTGAATTGGCCCAGGTGCCCACTGAGGCCACACCGCCAGCACCTAGGATGTCCTTGCCCCCAGGAAACCCACTGGTCTTCCCTCCGTCCTACTGTCAAGTTTGCCTACCCCTCTGCTTGGTAGGCAGGGGTACTCAGGAGGCCCGGGGCCCATCACAGACGCACACTAGGGAGCAGACTCCTGGCACAGTGGGCTGTGAGGAGATGGGCCCCTGGGAGGGGAGTCCTGCTGAGGGGTCTCAGGTTTGTGGCCATGTGAGGCCTCAGAACCTGGCAGCAACACCGGGGGGTGGTTATTGCTCTTGGGAAAGGAGGTGTAGGGGGCCTGCATGCGTGGAGGCAGAATGAGTGGAGCCAGAGAAGACCCTCCTGAGTCATCACCTCCCTCTGTGTATCTCACACATCCAGAGCTGAGAGTGGGTGTGGAAACAAGGCCCCTCTCCTCACAGCCCCCGTCCCCTTTCCTGGGCATCTGCAGCAACCCCAGCCAGAGACTATAGGCAGCTATCAGCCCAGCCAGGGGGCCAAGGACATGCCAGGCTTGCTGCTGAGGCTCCAGGGCAGGGCCCCCGCTGCTCCTGAGCATCCGGCTTTCCATGAGGTTGGGGGTCTTCTAGAAGGGCTCACTGGAAGGGCTGAGAAAGCCCTCAGGTTGCAGGTGCAGGCAGGGCCACAGAGGGCAGTGAGCCTGCAACTGGAGCTCCCAAACCCATGCCTGAGGAGGCAGACCTGCAGGGCAAGGAGTGCCTGCCTTCAGTGGCCCATCCCTCTAAGCATTCACCAGCCCAGAAAACTGCATGGGCCCTGCCTCTCCCTCTTCCTCAGCCATGAGCCACAGTCAACAAAGACCATTTAAGTGACCTCCTAAATCTCTCCCCACTCCCCCCAGCCCAGGCCAGCTCCCACCTCAGCTAGTGACCATTCCAGCCCCCCCCCCGCCCCC